CCTCCCCCCCCGAGTCTCTCCCCCCCCCCCCCCCCCCCGGACTTTAGGGTCAAAGGTCATGGTCCCAGAGGAGGAGAGGAGGAGTCGAGTTCAGCTGAACCTTCAGCCGATGACCTTCTCCTCTGGGTGTGGCAGGGAGAGAGAGAGGAGGAGGAGGAGGAGGATGGAAGTGAGAGGACGGGGAAGTTGAAGAGATGAGCAGCATATAGAGGACAAACATGGAGGGAGGGGAAGAGAGAGAGACTCATGAGGGAGAGAGAGATGTAAATTGATCCGGGACGCCATCGTGTCTGAGTCAGAAGCAGCGAGGGGAAAGGCTGCTGCTTTACGTTATTTATACTCGAGTAAAAGAATCTGCCATCGACATCTTCACCTCATATCTGTGTGAGTCTGCTGCTCTTTAAACTGTTTCCTCTCTGCTCTCCTTTCCTTGCTTCCGTGTGGACAAACAGATAAAGTGCATAACAGTAAGTGACTCTCCTTGTTAATGAACGATGAACAAGTGTGAATCATTTCACTCTCACAAGTGATGGACGGCCGACGGTCCAGTCCGTCGTAGAGCAGCCCTGCAGCCACACAGAGTTCAGACACATTGCTCTGTCCACACAGACAGACAGCAAGATCAACTGAATCAATTGCTTTCATGTGGTTAAGCTAAGCTAACTAGCTCTGCTAGCTCCAGCTTCATATTGAATGAACGGACAGAGAGAACCTGAGTCACAAAGCTGCACAACAGCTGAGGTTTACTTCAGTTTGTTCACTCTTTCAACACATTCTGCTTGTGTTCAAGTCCTTCGGGCACTTAGAGCAGGATGTGGCTACAGACCATTTGACTGTAATCATGAAGTCTGATTGAGATATTCAATTATTTAATATTAATTATTTAGCCCTTCTGACAGTATTTATAATTTATAATTTATATTTATAATCTCACTGAATAAAAACCTAACTGTTGGTTTTGTTTCGTTAAAAAGCTGACATTTCGTGACTATTTCACGAGCTGCCGTGAGCCCGTGTTGTCATACGACTCCCTCAGTTCAGATAAATATTTGTATCTTCTGTATTAGCTCGCCTGCTGTAACTACTTCACATTAAGTCGTCCGTCCCAAACTATTTCATGACTGTGTGTGTGTGTGTGTGTGTGTGTGTGTGTGTGTGTTCAGTGTCGCAGCCTCCGGTCCTGACAGAGATGCCGATGTCGTACACAGCCTTCTCTCAGGAGGACATCTATCTGCCCTGTGAGGCCTCCGGTAACCCGACACCAACGTACGTACCAGTGTGTGTGTGTGTGTGTGTGTGTCTGGATGTTTGTCCACTTCCTCTCTGACCGTTTTCTGTTGTCATGGCAATGAATGTTCCTCTAATGAAATCACAGCAATAACGACATCATCTCTCTGGTTTTCCATTTGTCTTCGTTTTTTTCATCGTCTGCCGGATTTCCTCCATCTTCTCTAAATCACTCCCTGCTTTCTCAAACTCTAAACTTCACCGTTACTATTTTAAACGATAGGACTGGTGATATTCTGTACTTTTTTGTTAGTTTTCAGTCATGTCATCCTTCTCTCCTCCGTAGTTTCCGTTGGGTGAAGGACGGCGAGAAGTTCCGCTCGGAGCGAAAAGAATCCGGGACGCTGCGAGGCGAAGACCAGGAGCCCCTCGACTCGTACGAGGGCTACTACCGCTGCTACGCCTCCAACACGCTGGGGACCGCCACCACACAAACCATACAGGTCATCGTGGAGGGTGAGTCTCACACACACACACACACAGACACAGACACATACACACACAGACACACAAACGCAGACACATGCACACACACACACATACACACAGACACACACACATACACACACACACACACTGGGGCCACCTGTTCTGCTCTCTCATCTCTTGTTACCGTAGCAACCGTTTCCTGCAGACAGAGCCGTGACGTCACTCGGTCGCGAGGCGTTGCACGGCGTCAGGAAAGTCACCCAGCTGGTGTTCAGCCTCCGATTACACTCGCTCTGGTCAGAGCAGAGGATCGGTTCAGTACAAACAGCAAATGTCCACCGTCTGCTCCGCAGCAGACAGACTCAGGTAGAGAGCAGCTGGTGAACGTAGTGGAGCATTTAGCTCCAGCGTGAGACTCACATCACGACCAGAGAGAACTCTGGTCTCTCAAACACAATAAAACCCTCACAAGTAAGTTCATCACAACATGTGACCAACAAGCAGAACGTCTGTGGAGCAGCCGTCAGGTGACGGTAGTGATGTCATACGCTAGTGATGTCATACCGTAGTGATGTGTAGCCCCGCCCTAAAGCATCCCCTGCTTTATGGTCTGTGTGAC